CTCTGACACCTAGGACCAATCAAAGGACCATCTGCTCCTGGCCCAGAGCTCCTGTACACCCATGCCACCTCTGTTCCAGTACAGAATGATGCTTATGCCAAGTGTTCCTCTGAGTGTCTTTGTCCCATGCATTGGGTGGCAAGTCTGGTGTCTTAAGCCCCTGTGCAGAGTTGTCATAGAAGGGACTCATGGAAGAAAATCAATATGTATCATGTTCTGAAATGATCCCATGCTAGTGACCCAGGGATGGACTGTCTTACATTATTTATCTAAAAGCAGCCGGTAGTTTGAAGCAGACTGCCCATTCCCCTGCCAACCTTGTGAAGTTCCTTTTATGATGCAGAAAGTACACAGAACACTGTCAAGACTCATACTCTCACAGTAAACCATAGCATGACAAGTGGAGAAAGTGGAGGCTGAGAATTTCCTGTTAGAAACTGCAGAAAGGCAAACTAATGAAGGTGTGCTTTATAACCGCAGAGAATCTCAATGGAAAGAGAAGAAGGAGAGAGAGAGAGAGAGAGAGAGAGAGAGAGAGAGAGAGAGAATATCCCTACTGGAGAGGTTGGTGGGGGTCTCCCAGCTGCAAGTAAGAGTGTCAACGGGTGTCCCCACTGGTTAGCATGGGTCTGATAGTATCAGACAGTATTCCAGGCGCCCTTAGGGAGAAACACTTTCCATTAGAGGAGGCTGCTTAAGACTGGGCGTGCCTGCTCACCATTTATGCTCTAGTGCAGTCTGCTAAGCAGGACACCTACTTACAACGTACTTGACTCTTCTAGGCTGACTCTAGAACAGTCCAGGGAGGTTTTAGTAACTAGCTGTGGTTTCTCTCTTTCTGAAACAGTATGACAGGAGCTAGGCAAGAACTTTAGACCTCATCATCTTGTGACTATGGGCTCTTGATCCTGTAAAAAGAAGGGAGACCTGAGGAGACAAGGGGACTCCTGGGTCTTGGTTGGATTTTCATTGTAACATCAATGTGGCCAGGGTTTTGTTAGTTGGGTTGTTTTCATTCTGAAATGGAGGCAACTCTGTGGCCTTGGCTGCTCAAACTATATTCTCTAATGGCTTTCAGTTGTCTGAGTCCCTCTCATCTCACTGCACTGGCCTCCAGCCACTGAGGGTGAGCAGAACTCTGCCTCACTGATGGATACATGCAAGGTGGGAGATTTGAGTTACAAAAGATTGCAAACCAAAAAGGCAAAAAACAAATGTGTGGGTGAAAAGGCTCAGATGTGATCCTGACAGTCAAACACATGTGGACATGGAGTGTCCCCAAGCCTACCTTGCAGTAGTCTGAATTCTGAAATATCCAACTCCCTGTGCCCACAGCTTCCTAGCTGACAATGGCCCAGCTTCATTTGCCTAATTCCTTCCTGGGCTCCAGCAGCACTGTGGAGTCCTCTTTACAAATACTTCATTCTGGTGTCTTTGCTTCTAGGTCATACTGATGTAGCTCAATGGTAGAGACCAGATCTCACACATCTTTACTACCTAAACCCCTTAGTGTGGTCTCTGGGCACCTAGTAAACCTTCTTTATAAGTGATGATTGGCCAACTGGTTAGTTGATACTGTGCTTTGAATGCGGGTCAGCCTCCTCTTTCTGGGTGATACCTATCGTAGAAATCTCGAAGCTCCAAACTTCAGATCACAAATAAAAAGGCCTTAGAAGATACCAGCAAAGTGATGAGCTAGCAATCCCGCCAAGTGTCTAGAGGATGCACATCCTGCCACTTGGGAGTTCAGTCAAGGCGAATGCTTGGTTCCTGTAGGATAGAGTGGAGAGGCTGGGATGATGGCTCAGTTGGCATCACAAGTATAAGGACTGAAGTTTAGTCTTCAGAAGCCACATAAAACTGCTAAATGTGATTATATACACTTATAATCCCAGGCACTGGATATGTTGAGACAGATCTCTGGGGCTCACTGGCCATCCAGGCTTGTTAGACTGGCAAGTTCCAAGCCAAGTGAGAGACTGTCTTAAAAACAAACGAAAGCCAAGAAAATTAAAGTGGATAGCATCTGAGGAATTTGAGGCTATCCTCTTGCTTTCGTGAGTGTGCATACACACACACACACACACACACACACAAGGATAGTGTAGTAGAGATGTGTGTGGTAATGCAATGTACTTCCTAGAGAAACTGAACAAGTCTTAGCACTCCTGTTAGTCCAGTTCAGTTTGAGTAACCAAGTGAGCGGGGTAGCCATTGTATTAGGCCTTGAGAGTTAGCGGTCAGGCTCTGTGGTCAGACTGGCCTTAGATTGACTCCACACAGAGACCAAGAAGAAAACAGAATCATAGGAGTACAAAAGTTGAAAGTGGAAGTCCTGTGGATGGTGAGATCTTCTCCTGACCTGTCCTGCTGTGCGGCATGTCTCAGTTCACTCTCCCTAGCCTAGCTCAGACTCACAAACACACCTTACCACTAACACAATTTTGGATCATCTTCTCCAAACGTTTCTCCCATTGCGATTAGATTCTAAATCCTTGTCATCTCCAACCTGTCCTCGGTTTCCCAGCTGGCACAGCATCCTGAGGCTGACATTTCTCCCTCCCACACAGCTGCTACCTCACTCCCTGCCTGGTGCTCAAACTCATCCTTCTTCCTGTCTCCTTTGGGAGCCAAGACCCCTCCTTCTGGACTTTGTGACAGCAACTGCCCGTCCTTCTCTTACTTTGTCTTTGCCAGAACTCCAGAACCCCCTATACCAACCACCTTCTTGCAGCCTTCATCCAAAAAATCCAAACCAAACAAAACCAAAACCAAAACCAAAAACAAAAATAAACAAATAAAAGCATCCCTAGTTTTATGTAATATGCACAACTGAAAAAGCAAGTAGACAGTGAAAAGCAAAGAGCATTTTGAGAGAAAAATCTCTTAATCAAATACAGATACCAAGAACATGAGCACGGGGACTGGAGAAATTGCTATCAAAGTGAATTGCTTTTTGTACAAATGTTCCTTTTATTTGGGTTTTCCCCAGTGTGCTATTCTCTCTTCAAGGCTTGGCTAACAGATGCGCTTTTGAAAATGTTGATGAACTTACCCTTTTCTTGACCCCCTTCCCACTCACCCAAATTCCTGGGATCCTGATTCTTCCTAGAGCAGAGCTGAGGCACTGCAGTGTTCCTTACCTTAAGTGGCCTTTGACTCTCCAGGTGCAGAATCTCAGCTGGGGCTGAGCAAGCGATTCCACTGAAACTTAGGAAGGGGCGAGTTCTTAGGAAGCCATCTCATCCAGTCCTCTGCCTCTAGAGATGACAGGCCTAGTAGGAAATGTCCTCACTGCCACTGCCACCCATTGCCCTTTTCCCTTCAAGACCAATGCCACATCGTCCCTCTCTAGTCTATGATCAGTGGTGGCCTTGGTCTTCTTCTTTGGGGTATGAGATGAAGGAAGGTGACACTCCAGCCTCCAAGATTTTTCTGGTCTTTGACAGAGACTGAAATCAAGTCCAGGGTTTGGCCCTGTGGTCACTGGTTAGAGCCCCCAAGGTTCCTGCCCATATCTGAGTCACAGTCTTAGCCAGTACTCTGCATCCTCTGCATGGAGATGTTAAGACATATGAGCATTCCATCAAAGTGATTAATTGTCAGAAATGTGAGCTTTTTCCAGCTTCCTCTTGTTTTTCAATGCATAATCCTATTTTTAAAAAAGGCTGGGTTGACTTTCATAAGCTCGCTGTGATCCCTGTGACAGACACCACCTGCGCCTTGTCCAATCATCTCCACATCTTCATTCCAAAGAAACAGCCTGCTTTGTGGGGGCCTGGAGAATAATAGGCACCAAGGTAGGAAAGCTGGCATGGCCTGCAGATATCAGTTGCTATGCTAAAAGCATGCCAGGAATGGGCTGGACTCACAGAGGACTAGCGCCACATGGCAGTGGTCCTTTCCGGTGAATCTTGGCAGGTTGTTCCGGGTGTCCTTTTCCTGAGGCCGAGGAGATGTGAGCATGCTTCAGCACTCTGGCCAGGAATGAAAAAGATTTTTAATATGATTGGAAATGAGTGGATTTCCAGGGCGACAGTGATAGATCCATCCTCAGTTCAGTTCACAGTCAAGGAGACGCTCTCTGATACATGATACTGATGAACAGTCATTCCATGTGGTCTACAGCTCTTCTCATTGCTTCCTCAGCTCCTGGAGGTTTTAGGTGTCCTAATCAGCTTGAGACACGGGCAGAGTGAAAAGACCCTGTTTATTATCACTTATTATCACTTATTGGGCTCTCTTTTTAGACGTTTTAGTATTTTAGATGGGTAATTTTTGTTGGTTCTGATTTCTATAAACTAGACAGTTTTGTGGATAAAATTCCCCATCTTGCATATCCCTCAAATTATCATATAAAAGAAAAAAATAGGCAGTGATCATACTGGAAAATTTCAGAGCAAATTAACTCTATTCAAGCCTGAACTAGTCAGATTGGGTGCCTACGTTTGATCTGTTCTAGATGGTGTGGGGAGGAAACAACACAAAAATAGCCTGGGATGGGGAAGAGATAGCCCCATACATGTGAGAGGGGGACACTGAGATATTCTTCCCAATTCTTTCATATCAAGCTCTCTAATGATGAAGCATGACTTCTTTCCGTTTCCATATGTCTTCTTAGGTACACACTTATGGGGAGATGGAGTTTACTGTACTAAGTATGTGCCATTGTAATGGCGGCTAAGGGGTCTTGCGAGAAACCTCAGACCTCAACTGGTAATGAATGACAGTTATGGAAACTTAAGAGGCTGAGCTACTTGCCACTGAAGATGTGACCTTTCTTAGTTTGTTTTCTGGTCATTGTTGAAAGAAAGCTCCTTTGTAGGTAAATAATCCAGCAGCATGCATGCAAAGTGATTGTAAAGTGGGTATGATTCTCTAGACGCTCACCAAAATGGGAGTTGGGCTCAACAATGGTTGGCTCTTTGCCTTGTAGCTGTGATGATAGAATTTCTGATAATTTGGTGTGTTTGTTTTCCCTTTTTTTTTTATTTTCATAGTGGACATCCCAGAAATCCATGGGGGAGAGGGCTATGAAGATGAAATTGATGGTGGGTATTACTATGATTTAACAGATAATCATGAAATCCAAACTTTGGTTATAAAAACGTCAACAAAAATAATGCTCTGGCTATTGGAGGAGCCGAATTTAGAACTATCTGTCAGAAATACAAGTGAAAAGGACCCAGAGAAGAATGAAGGAACCATTAATTACCTTGCCAGGGTCAAAGCTCCAGATTTAGAAAGCTTACCGGATCCCCTTGGCCTAATCTGAAACAGACCCCTATTTCAGGCAACCTTCTCTATGGATGGACTTCAAACCTGGAAAATCCCTTCAGAAGTGTAAAGTGAGACCCTCTCTGCCATCACTACTTGACCCCCACCTTCTTTACTGTCACTGCTTGACCCCCATGACCTCCTCCACAGAAAGGCCAGAGTGAATTACCTGAACATGAACAGTCTCAAGCTAGTGCAGACAGCTCACTCTGCTGCTTACAGGGAAATTGTGTTATACTATCCAAGAAGCCAGAACTTGCTTATTGAAGATTTAGAGGTTTTGTCCACAATGCCCACCTCATATTCTCATATTTATTACAAGCTCTAGCTTTGCATTTCAAATGCACATACTTCTGGAAGCTAATTCCAGAGTCCTAGGAGGGGGCACAAACACACAGGTGTTCTTTCTGCCTTCAACTCGGCAGTGGGAGTGCCAGGCCTGATGTCTGGGATCCCACTCACAGAGCAAACTTCAGATCAAGTCTGAACATTGAGGAGAACAGTTACTTTTCATCTGACCTTGGTCAGAAACTTGAAATGTCATAGAAACTAGAGTGATAAACTCAAACAGCACCTTGTTACCTGGCTACAGGATCTCCCTGCAAAACCCAGTCCAGTTCTCCTTTTATGGGCAAAATCGCACAAGTGGCCTATATGGGAGTCTACAGGAGATCAAACAGAAGCACTGACGAGCAAGGCACAGGGAAGAGGATGCAGAATGCTGGCTCCTGGCTCCTGGCCCTGTGTTAACTGCTTGCCCACTGCCCGAATTGCTTGCTCACTGCCTGGTGCCAGTTACTGGTAACCAGCTTCTTCAAACCTCAGTTGCAGTTACTAACAAAAATGGAGTACCACTCTGCTTTCCTCCTGGAATTCTTAGGGGACCCAGAGGACATAGGTTTCACATGCAGCCATATCTTGTTCCTACACTAGACATGTAAGGATATCCTTTTCCTCGGGTGACTATAGCAAGGCCTCAAAGCTTGGTTGCTTCACTCACAGAAATTTATTTTCTTATCTCTTTGGAGGCTTGTCCTAGATGAAGGTATGGTCAAGGCTGGTTCCTTCTGAAGGCTATAAGGATCTCTCTCTCTCTCTCTCTCTCTCTCTCTCTCTCTCTCTCTCTCTCTTGATCTCTCTTGATCTCTCTCTCTCTCTCTCTCTCTCTCACACACACACACACACACTCACACTCCCTCCTTTTCTCCCTTTCTCTCTCTCTTCCTTCCTCCCTCTCTGCCTTCCTCCCCCCTTCTCTTCCCTCCGTCCCTCTCGCTGGCTTGTGCATGACCATTTCTGTATTTGCTCATGTCTGTGTTCTCCCTTTCCGTAAGGGGACCTTTCAGACTGGGGTTAGAGCCCAGCCTAATGGTGTCTTCTTGTTGCTCAGCAAAGGCTTTGACTCCTAGTAAGATCCCATTCTAACAAAGCGCTAAGAGCCTGAACTTAAACAAGAGCAGTGGAGGTCAGTTTAATCTGTATCAGTAAAGTATACGTGTCAATGGAGGTCCGAGGGCCAGAAAGGAGAGCGGTTGCGTATATAGCTAGGAACGCTAAGTGCAGAAACTTACGACATGAAAACAACCTCGGCCAGTCCTCCGATTTAACTTGAAGCAGTTGGAAATGAGGAATGACAAGGCAAACAAAGAAGGTGCCTGAGACACATGGCCATCCTGTGCATTGCATTGCAAAGTGACCCTGAGGAGTCTGTTAAAACCTTAGGGTTGGAGATACAGCATAGTGGTGATACACCTGCTTAGCATGCATGAGGCCCTGGGTTTGATCATCCCCAGCAAAAACAAGCAAAACAATAACAAATCTGAACTTATGTAATGTAAGCCAGCTGGAGCTGCAGCTCAGTTGGCAAAGTGCTTGGCTAGCATATGCTGAGCCCCGAGTTTATGGTGGTGCGTGTCTACGGTCCAACTACTCATGAAGTAGAGGCAAGTTCAAGGCCAGCCTGGGACACCCTTTATAAATAAATAAAGTG